CACCGAGCCCATGAGGTCACGTCACTCTCTCTGTTGGCTTGGCTCACCTGGCTGTTCTTCTGCTTCCCTCATTCCAGGACTCCAGCTTTTATGCTCCCACATCTTGGATCACTGAGTCCCAGGTTTCCCAGAAGACCGAGGTTCTGACTTCTAAAATCAAGGAAATCCAGAGGAGGTTTCCAACCTGGACCCCTGACCAATGCCTGAGAGGTAGGTGTCACCATGGGCCAGATGTCTCTCAGCACAGAATTAATAGGGACAATTGTGTCACCTTGGACCAGATTCCTCAAAGCCGCCCTGCCTCCTGATGGGCAGTTAGGAAAGAGAACCTAAGTTAACTACTGAGTACTCAGGGACTGCTGGGTCAGCACTAAAGTGTCACGTGAATTTCAGGTGGACTCTGTGCCTACGATGGGGGCGTTGGTTATGTCAAAAGCAACCAGGACCTGAGCTGTGACTTCTGTAATGATGTCCTTGCACGAGCTAAATACCTCAAGAGACACGGCTTCTAACACTTCAGATAAAACCCAAGACCGAATCGGAGGAGGCCTCGATTGGTTCCGAATAAAAATAGCCTATGAGCCCTGTAACTGCAAATCTAAGTTTGACCAGAAAGGTTGTCAAAATAACATGAATTACATTAAAGGAAGAATTATCACTGGCATTTTGTGGTCTGGTGTGTATGTGTGTGAATTAAGGGCTGTTGCTCTTTAAAGGTATTTATTTCCATGGAGGTTAGTTGTAATGTAGGTTTCTGCAAAATGAACCCTATACATCATTAACTAGCACTGCAAGATTTAGCAAATAAAAATAAATGAAGCCTAGTTTAAATTCGCATTCCAGATAAACGATGAATAATTTTTAGTATAAGTCCTGCAATACCGGAACCCATTTACGCTAAAAGGTTATTCATTGTTGATCTGAAATTCAGATTTAACTAGCCTCCCTATATTCTATCTAACAACCCTATCACTAATTTCTTTGAAAAAAATCAATTTCAAATTTTAATTGGCAACTTTAGATGAAAAAAGGGTGAGATGGTGATCGGCCCCCATGTGCTGGGCGAAGTCACTTCAGGTGAGTCACTTGCTAGTTTTGTAACATCATGTTGTCCCTCTGTTGTCTAAGTTGCCTCCCCCTTTCCTTTCCTGAGCCTTCCATACCACAGAAACTCCTACACTCAAGCTTCCTTACTCTTCACCGAAGTATCTGGAACTATTTAAAATAGTTTAAACTATTGTTTGGGAGCTCTTAAGTCACCACCAGGCCAGGCCCTGGGAGGCCATTCGTAAGTTGGCACTGCCCTCAGGTACACTGACAGCTCATCATCCTGGGAAATGGCTGAATCCATGGGTTTGTCGTCTATAAAAGTAGTTCATGTCCCATTCTGTCAACTGTGCAATATGAGCACTTACAAAGCATCATTCTAGAGCATTGTTTTAAGCAGTTTGGGGCCAGGTGGTGATGTGGTGCAATGCAGCAGGACTCACATAGGAAAGGTCTTAAGTTTCCGTCCCAGGACCACCGTGAGAACCCCAGACACATTGCCCATGAGCCAGCCAGCTAAGATTGAGGTGGGGCATGGCATAAAGACCTGTTTGGGGCACTCCTTGCTTTCTCAAATAAATAAATAATAAATAAATAAACTTTTTGTGTGTGCTTAGCAGAGAGAGGAGAGAGAGAAAATAAGTGATAAATCACCCCTCAGGAAGATGGCCACATTGCCATCCCTTCTCCTGCATCCTCTTCTTGAGATTTTGGGTATGCACACACATGCACCCAGTAAGTTTTTCAAGCTGCCAGGTCCAGGACTCAACCACAGGAAGAGAATGGAGAAGGGATTGCAACGTGGCCATCCCCCCTAGAGGATGATTTCTCACTTTCTATCTCTCTGTCTTTCTGGCGAGCACACCTGTCCTGTAGCAAAAATCTCTCTCTCTCTAAAAAAAAAAATAAAAGTAGAGTCAATTTTTTTTTCTAAGTTTGCTATAGGGCACATGTGCTCACCAAGAAGAGCAAGAGAGAGAGAAGGTGAGAAATACCCTCCTGGTGGGGGCGGGTGAATGGCCACACTGCAATTCCTTCTTCTCCATTCTCCTCTCAGGACTTTGAGCATGCATGCACATGCGTCTGGCATGATTCTCAAATCACTGGGTCCAGGTTTGAAACACAAAGTAGGCCATGTGGGATCCAGCCACCTTAACTTCGATGACACCTACTGCACACCCCACCTTTTTTTTTTTTTTTTTGTAGAGGTTTTTGCCTTAAGGCACAGGTGCCCTTCAGAGAGACAGAGACAGTGAGAGGGAAAGTGAGAAGTCACACCCCAGGGGAATGGCCACACTGCAGTCCCTTCTCCTCTATTCTCCTCTTGGGATCTTGGGCACGCATGCACAGACACCCAGTGTGAGTTTCAAGCCACCAGATCCAGGCTTCAAACCACAGTTGGCCATGTGGGAGTCCATGTAACTACTACGCCATCTGCTGGCCCCCAAAAAACATTTTTTAAAAAGCAATGCCTGTGCGCTCAGCACTATCTCAAGCAACATAGCAGTGTGTGTTCCAGGAACTATCACATCATAAAACGTGATTGAGCATACCAGCCCACAGAGAAGAGAGGCGAGCCTAGCACCCCTGAGCGTGAGGTACACAGGAAGGGTGTGCACCACGTGGCAGCGGGAGGCCAGGCGCCCCTGCAGACTCCTTGGGGCCTGTGGTGCTCTTCACGTCTCCCAAGGCTGCTTCTTGGTCTCCCCACCCTCCAACTTACAAGTGCTACTCTCAAGGCTGAATTCAGTGAGCAGATCCCCACCAAGAAGCGCATGGCAGAGAGGACCTCGTGAACACCCGAGATTCACACTGTACCGGCACAAGGAAACCCAGGGCGAGGCATGGCCGTGAGCACATAGAAAAACACCTGGGTAAGTAATGACCTCCTGAAATTGCATCACCAGGCAGCTTCTCGCAGCTCCCGCCATGGACACAGCAAGCGGGGGAACCTGTGTGGGGCCCCTGGTGTCTCTCAGCCAAGAACACCCAGCCAAGGAGAGTCACGACAGGATCTCTGGAGAAGCCCTAGCTGAGTTAAGAGGTTGGTGACACATAGGGTATTGGTCACACGGCAATGAACAAATCCTACCGGAGCCTGTCTGCCAGTCCCTGTATTGGGAACGGTAAGATGAGGATGAGAAGACATAGTCCTGTTTACAAGGGTTCCTTCTGTAGCCGGAACACTAGTAATGACCTTGGAACACAGTGAACTCATTAATACATATTGGGCAGGAGGATTTGGGAGAAGCACTGAGGCCCCGATTCACCAGGAGGTCAGGGCTGTACTCACAGGAGCACTGCCAGGATGCACCTTTTTATTTCCCCACATAGACAGTGTCAACCAGAGCTGCACTCGTGCTCCCCCTCCACCAGCCGCAAACTCCAGAAACAGCTCCCGGCCCCCTCTGCTGCCATCTGCAGTGAGGCTTCTTTGTGTCTCCCTGAACTGTGTCAGAGGAGGGGAGCGCCAGCTGGTGGTGAGGAAGGTGCCCAGGATCCCCACCCCCCACCGTGGGCAGAGAGGGGAAATGGGGATGAGGTGTACACATTCTCCTGAGCCCACAATATGCCCGCCAGCACTGCCCAGGCTGCCCAGAGCCACACAGTGCAGCGGCTGGCACCACTTGCACTGCAGAGGCCTGCCCAGAGTCCCCTCGCCCCTGCACACCCACTGGCATTGCTAGCACCGCAGAGGCCTTCCCAGAGGCCCTTGTGCCCCTGGTGGCACCCACTAGCACTGTGGAAGCATACCTAGAGCCCTTACCCCAGACACTTGGTGGCACCCGCTGGCATACAGAGTCCTGTCCCGAGTCCTTCGTGCACCCACTGGCACCTGTTAATGCTGTGGAGACCTACCTGAAGCCCTCCCTGCACGCATGGTGCCCGCTAGCGCGGCAGAGGCCTGCCCAGAGCTCTCTCCACACCCTCTAGCACCGTGGATGCTGCCCAGAACTGTGTGCCCTCCATAGTGCAGCTGCTGGCGCCCACTGTATGCACCGTGGAGGCTTACCCAGTGCCCCTGGCAGTGCCTCAGAAGCCCCCCAGAGCCCACGTCCACTCACTAGTGCTGTGGAGGCATCCCAAGTCTCCACCTGCAGCAACAACCCCTGCCCATTCCTCCTGTGATGAACTGACCCAGGAGGGGCGCAGCTGGAGAGAGCCGCAGGCCGCAGAGCACATGCTTCATTCATCTGCAGGACGTGCACACAAGGGGCGATGAAACGACTGGCCATTCCGAGTCACACGGCTGCTCAGCCAGCACCCCAACCCTCTTACAAGCAACTGTTCAAGACAGAAAATATGACTTACCTTGGGCCCTAATCTCCACTCTGACACCTCACCTGCAGGAGGACTTCTGTGCCCCATAAGGGTCCGAGAACTCAGACGAACACCACAAAGGCCAGCAGTTGTCACGGGCACAAGGAGATCTACTGCCCTGTACAGGAGAAGTGAGTACTCCACAATGCCTAAATATAGACAGGGACAGGGAAACATGAAGAAGCAAGGAACTGTCTCCCTCCAAAGGAACAAAGTAACTCCCCAGTACAACAGACAAAATGTAGAAAATCACATTAAGTGTCAGAATAAAAAAAAAAAAAAAATTGAACATAGTGATTGTCACTGTCGCAGGCTCCGGGTGGCGTGGCCATGCAGGTCGCCCTCCGCCTCAGCGAGAAAGCTGAGGCACAGAATGGTGCCCAGGGAGCCCTGGGCAGCGCGCGGTGAGGGTGTCCGGCAGGCTGTGTTCAGGTGCTTTGTGGAGGTTGGCCAGGTGGCCTACATCTCCTTTGGCCCTCATGCCGGAAAGCTGGTTGCAATCGTAGATGTTATTGATCAGAACCGGGCTTTGGTTGATGGACCTTGCACTCGGGTGAGGAGACAGGCCATGCCTTTCAATCGCATGCAGCTCACTGACTTCATCCTCAAGTTCCCACATAGTGCACACCAGAAGTACGTGCGCAAAGCCTGGCAGGAGGCAGGTATCAACACAAAGTGGGCGGCCACAAGATGGGCCAAGAAGATTGAAGCCAGAGAAAGGAAAGCCAAGATGACAGATTTTGATCGTTTTAAAGTCATGAAGGCAAAGAAAATGAGGAACAGAAAAATCAAGAATGAAGTTAAACTTCAAAAGGCAGCTATCCTGGGAACCAGGAGTTAGTGTAATGTCTATGTCACTGGACTCCCACGTAGTCGACCGCGGTTCACGTCCCTGACCCAGTGGCTTAAAACTCATGCCGGGCACGTGTGCGGTGTGCCCAAAATCCCGAGAGGAGAATGGAGGAGAAGGGATTGCGGCGTGGCCATCCCCCCGGGCGGTGATTTCTTGCTTTCTGTCTCTATGTCTCTCTCTGTCTGTCTGGCGAGCACACGCGCCCTATAGCGAAAATCTCTCCAAAAAATAAAAAAATAAAAAAGCAGCAATCCTGAAAGCTTCTCCCAAAAAAGCACCTGTTGCTAAGGGTGCAGATGCCACTGCAGCAGCTGCTGCTGCTGCCGCCAAAGTGCCAGCGAAGAAGGTAACAGTCGCAGGGAAGAAGGCCCCAGCCCAGAAGGCTCCTGCTCAGAAAGCTGCAGGCCAGAAGGCCGCGCCACTTCCCAAAGTGCAGAAGGGTCAGAAAGCTGCAGCCCAGAAAGCACCTGCACTGAAAGCGTCGGGCAAGAAAGTATAAGAGGCTGTGATAGAAATCATAAACGTTCTTTTGACATAGCAAAAAAAAAAAAGAATAAAAAAAAATTGATGGGACCAGCAGTTAGCGTAATGGCTATGTTGCTGGACTCCCATGTAGTCGACCGTGGTTTGAGTCCTGGACATGGCTGCTTAAAAACTTACGCCAGGCACGTGTGCGTGCGTGCCCAACATCCCGAGAGGAGAATGGAGGAGAAGGGATTGTGGCGTGGCCATCCCCCATGGGTGGTGGTGGGGGTGATTTCTTGCTTTCTATCTCTCTGTCTCTGTCTTTCTGGTGAGCGCACGTGCCCTATGGCAAAACCCTCTCAAAAAAAGAAAAGGAAAAAAAAAAGAATAAAAAAAATTGTTAAGGTTTTTGCCACAGTGTACATGTGCTTGCTGGAGAGAGACAGAAGATGAGGGGGAATGTAAGAAATCACCCCCAAGAGGGGATGGCCCGACTGCAATCCCTTCTCCTCCATTCTCCTCCTAGGGTTTTGGACATGCACACACACGTGCCCAGGTTTTTTTTGTTTTTTTGTTTGTTTGTTTGTTTGTTTTTGAGAGAGAGATTTTTACTATAGGGCACATGTACTCACCAGAGAGAGAATGTGAAATCACCCCTCGGGGGAATAGTTACACTACAATCTCTTCTCCTCCAGTCTCCTCTTGGATTTGGGGCACACACCCACACACATGACTGGCATGAGTTTTAAGCCACTGGCTCCAGACTTGAATCATAGTCAACTATGCGGGAGTCCAGCAATGAGACATTACACCATCTGCTGGCCCCACCCTGCATGATTTTTAAGCTGCCAGGTCTGGGACTCAAACTGTGGTCAGCCAGGTGGCAGCCCAGGGCTTTAGTCACTATGCCACCCACTGACCTCCAGAATCAAATTTTTAAATATTTACCATAACAAAACTCAATGAAATACAAGACAATACAAACGAACAATTTCAAGAGATGAGAAAAACAATCTAGGACATGTACAAGAAATTCAATAGAGAGAGAAACATCCAAAAAAGAATCAAACAATTCCTGGAAATGAAAAATGCAATTCTGTGGAGACTATTAACTCAGAAGAAAGAGACTCAAAACTTAAAAACACAAACTTTGAAATATCCCAAAGCATCAAAAACAAAGAAGAAATAACCATTACAAGTGAAAATAAAGGGGATATCAAGTATCATAATGGTTAAGGCACTGGATTCCCACATAGGCAACTGTGGTTCAAGACCTGGACCCGGTGGCTTGAAAATCATGCTAGGTCCGTGTGTGTGTGTGCATGCTCAAAATCCCTCAAGGAGAACAGAGGAGAAAGGGATGACCATTCCCTGGGGGGCTAGGAGGGGTGATTTTTCACTTTCCCTCTCTTTGGATCTGTCTACCTATCTCTCTAGTGAGTACATGTGCCCTATGGCAAAATCCTTAAAAAAAAGAATTATTCTTGGCACCAAGGCTTTTTTCTTATACCAGTCCTGGATGCTTTCCAAAGGGCTGGGAAGGAGAGAGATGTTCGTTTTGTTTTAAGGGAAGAAACGGAATGGTCACTATCCACCTGGTCAGGAGTCATGACTTTTAGTTCTGACTCTGCCTCTATTTATTGTGTGAACTTGTGCAATAGGTTAACTTCATGTGCCTCGGTTTCCGCATCTGTAATAAGAGGTTTGACTGGCTGACGCTCTGAATTTTCTACCAGGTCTAAATTACTTTTGATGTAATTATACTGCCTCTGGGTGGTTGCATTTAAAGCCTGTTTGACTGCATCTTGTAGTAAAGGTTTGCTTTACGGCATACCCAGTACATATTTGATTCAACTGAAAACGCTCATTTCAACAACTTCTAAGGACATTGGAGGTGACTTTATCCAAGACAACTACTTTCAAGGAGTAAGAGAGATACGGGTTCAAAGCTGACCTTTTGGAAGTTATTTCATTTCTCTGCTTAAATTTCCTCACCTGAACAATGAAGATTAAATGAAGTAGTCTACGTACAGTGCTTAGTATAGCCCTTGTCACATCGCAGGAACTCCATAGATTATAGAAATAAGTATAACTGGAGGGATCAGCAGTTGTTGTAATGGCCATGTTGCTGGACTCCCATGTAGTTGACTGTGGTTCGAGTCCTGGATCCTGTGGCTTAAACTCACGCTGGGCACATGTGCATGCATGCCTAGGATCCTGAGAGGAGAATGGAAGATAAGGGATTGCAGCGTGGCCATCCCCCCGGGGGGTGATTTCTCGCTTTCTGTCTCTCTATCTCTCTCTGTCTTTCTGGCAAACACATGCGCCCTATAGCAAAAACCTCTCTAAAAAGAAAAAAAAAAAAAAGAAAAGAAAGAAGTATTACGTTGAAAGATAGGAGTGTGTTTGGTTAGCCCCTGGCAACAAGAGGGCAAGACTACTTGTGATGACATGCATGTACTCAGACAGAATCCTTGTCTGAGGAAGCCTGAGGGAGCCAGAGCCAAGGGTTCTTAGGGGAATAGAATATTCTTTGGCTGTTACTTTAATTACATGAGTGTGATTCCCCAAGACTCCACTCATTGACTGGGACTCCAGACTAACCTAGCTACTAGCTTTCTTCTTTGCTCCCTCCTACCCTTCCTTCTTTCCTCCCGGAGACAAACGGAGGGAGAGAAAGAGATATTTTGACAGGGTTTTGCCATATCAGTCCTCCCGCCCCAGCCTCCCAGTTAGCTAGGATTGCACACCACGGTGCAGGGTCTGTTTAGGTTGGACTGGGAACTGAACACGGGCCTCCCATATGGCCGCAGCCTTGTGCAGTAGCACCCTACCGCCGATGCCAACTACAGCTGGGCCTCACACAAAGCTTTGTTTGCTTTTCAAAGTTTTAATTTGCTAGCGGTTACATGCAATAGTCAGAAAGAGACATGGGGGTGGGGGAGAAGCACCTCCTACTAGGATGTGGTCCTGCCGCAATCCTTTCTCCTCCATTTCTCCATTCTGTTACACCCAGCAGGTTTTTCCAGCCTCTGGGGCCTGGATTCGAATGGCATGGCCAGCCATATGGAATCTGACTCCCTTAACCACTAGCCCACTGGGCCAGCCCAACAAAGCTTCCCTAACCTGGCTGAATACTGTCCCACCAGGGGTATTACCCAGGAAGAAAAAAAGACTGAGGCTTGGAGTATCACTGGCTTCTGATGTAAACAAGAGAAATCAACCTAGAAAGATAATGACAATCACTCTTGCTAGCATTTATGTGATGTTTCTCCCATACAGTGTAAGAAATGTAAACCCCTAATATTGTGTGTCAAAGTCCGACACCCTGGCCAGGCCCATGTTGACTTCAGGAAGCCTGTTTTTCAGGGATCTCGCCCAGCTTTTGTCCAACATTAGTTCTCAGGCCTGCAGCGGTGTTTCATTTACAGGTGGAGAGGTGAGCCATCTGTCGGATGAAAGACCGCCTCACCCATTTTCCCCCACTTTACTCACTGACACATGACACGTCTCTTGTTAATTCATTTGCCTCACACTGTAGACGTGTGGGACCCTGGAATCACACAGTCTCATCCTGGGAAAACCGTGTTTACATGCTTCCAGAGAGCCCTATGCTGTCTTGTTTGATGAAGTTGCACTGGGATGTCTATTTGAAACGTCCTTGGAGAGAAAATTGTTTCTAACTCCCGGGAGCCTGATGTCGCAATGCGCAGACAGAATTCTGCAAAGACTTGCTTCTTTGTCCTTTCAAGGCTCAGCAGAGTGAAAATGGATTTTTTTTTCAGCAGAGTGAAAATGGAATGCTGAACACCCAGGCATTTTAATAAAAAGCCTCCATTACTCTGATTCTCTTTGACTTCTGTGGGAAATGGTTTTCAGTTCTTGATCTTTTATTCATTCCTAAGCACAACTGGGAAGTCCTCCTCCAGTGTTGTTTTCTGTTTTTGTTTTTGTTCTGTTGTTTCTTTTTCCTGCAGGTGAAGATCTGCCCTGATGTCTCTACCCAAGGACAACCAACTCCCTGGTGACTTTCACACCAACACTTACCTTGCCCCCTCTGCTCTCCTGCTGCTGCCTCCTTTGGGTTATATTTGTATTCTAACTAACCTAAGAAAAGGAAAAAATAGTGAGGAAGAGGGAGACAGAGAGGAGAGAAAGGCAGAAAATCACCAATGTTTGGGGCCAGTAGGTAGCGTGGTACTAACGTGCTGGACTCCCACATGGCCAGCCGTGGTTTGAGTCCTAGACCTGGGCACCAAAAAATTGCTCTGAGTGCATATATGTGTGTGCCCCAAATTCCAGGAGAATGGAGGAGAAGGGATTGCATGGCCAACTCCCCTGGGGGTGATTTCTCATTTTACCTGTCTCTATCCATCTCTTTCTGATGAGCTCAAGTGCCCTATAGCAAAAACTTTAAAAATAAATAGGTTAGAAAGAAAGAAAGAAAGAAAGAAAGAAAGAAAGAAAGAAAGAAAGAAAGAAAGAAACCACCATTGTGGTCATACAAGTTGAAGTTTCTTTGTTGATTAAGTAAAAGTAAAACTACCTAGAAGCAATCGAATTAAACTGAAATACATTTAAGCGTGGCCGTCTCCCCTGGAAGGGTACTTTCTCGCTTTCCCATTTTCTCTCTCTTCTCTGTCTCTCTGGCAAGTGGGTATGCTCTATAGCAAATTAAACAAACAAACAAACAGAAAATGTAGCCCTGCAGCTAAGGAAAATCCTGGGGTTACCTCAGATGATGACGACTTGCAAAGATTCCTAAGAAGGGCTGGTTCTATGGCCTGGTGGTTAAGGCAGCCAGATCCCACATGGCCTACTATTGCGTTGTTGGAATTCCAGGCCCAGCAGCTTGAGAAACATGCTGGGCATGCCCAAAATCACGAAAGGAGGGAGTAACGCAGGAGAAGGGATTGCAGCGTGACCATTCCACATAGGGGGTGCCTTCTTCTCTCTTTCTCTCTCTGGCAAGCACACACACAAAAACAAACAAAAAGATTCATAAGGGAAGGTTTGAAAGCAGAGGGAACTGCCTCAGCAGAGGGCGAGAGCTAGAATGTTCTTCAGGAGACCTTCTAGTGGCCGAAGACCAGCTCTGGGTGGTCTCTCTTTCTTGAAACTCAGGGACCCTCCATCCCTGTTTCTAACAGCTAGCTGACTCTGGTTACTCTCTGGTCTCTGGTCTGCTCCCTCGTGGCTTCTCCTGCGTCATGGCTCTGCCCTCTGTCATGGGTCTTCCTACTCTAGCACTCTGCTGGATATGCCCCTCTCTGCACCTCACATCCAAGCTATCCAGGGCTTCATTCACGATTCTCCAGCACAGTCACCACAGGATTCCCCAAATCTGCCCTTTCCTCTGGCCCATGTAAATCGCTCTTTGAGAGTTATCAGGGGTAGGATGACTCCCCTACATGTTTATGGACCTTGTCCCCATGTGTTTTCACTCCCAGTCTATAAACATTTTTAGGGCACCTGTGGTATGCCACATACTATGTTGAGAACTGGGGATGTGAAGATGAATATGACAGAACATAAATGGACAATCTATTGGTGAAACCACACAAAAGAAAATCGTTGAAATAAGGTAGTGTGCTAGTTTTCTGGAGCTGCCCTAACAAATTACCACAAACTGGAAGGTTAAAAGCCCAAATATATTTCCTCATAGTTTTGGAGGCTAGAAATCTAAGACCAAAGTGTCAACGTGGCCATTCTCCTCAAGACTCTAGGGAAGAATCCTTCCTTGCCTTTCCCTAGCTTCTGGTGGTTGCTGGCAATCCTTGCTCCTTGGCTTGTAGACACATCACTCTGATTCTGGCTTCATTGTGTGGCTTTCTGTGTGTCCCTCTGTGTCTTCATGTGGCCTTACTGTAAGAATGCCAGTCACAGGTCAGCAGGTGGCATGGTGGTAAAGGTGCTGGACTCCCACGTGGCTGACTGTGGTTCGAGTCTAGGACCTGGAGGCTTGCTTTCCCACTTTCTCTTTCTCTATATCTTTGTCTCTCTCTGATTTAATCTAAAAATAATAATAGTGGGGCCAGCAGGTGGCATGGTGATTAAGGTGTTGGAATTACCACATGGTCGGCCATGGTTTGAGTCCTGGACCTGGCGGTTTGCTTTCTCCCTCTCCCTCTCCCTCTCTCTCTCCCTGTCTTCCTCTGGCAAAACTCATGTGAAAAATACTATTAACAATAATAATAAATAAATAAATAAATAATTCTTTAAAAATAATAATAGTAATAAATAAAATTAAATAAATAAATTCTTTTAAAGTGAAGAAAGAAAGAATGCCAGTCACTGGTCTGGCCTATGACTTAGTGGCTAAAGGAGCTGGATCCTATCTAGCTGACTGTGGTTTGAATCCTGGCCCTGGTGGCTTGAAAAACAGGCCAGGTGTGTGTGCCTGCATGCCCTAAATCTCAACAGGATGGAGAAATAAAGGAGAAGGGACTGTGGCATGACCATGCCCCATTGTGGGGTACTTTCTCTCTCTCTCCCCATCTATCTTTTGGGGTTTTTTTGGCAAGCACACATGCCTTCTGGCAAATAAAAATAAATAAAATTAAGGACCAGCAGATGGTGCAGTGGTTATGTCACTGGACTCCCATGTGATCAACCATGGTTCGAGTCCTGAACCTGGCACTTAAAAATTCAAGCCAGGCACGTGTGCATGTGTGCCCAAGATCCCCAGAGGAGAATAGAGAAGGTATTGTAGGGTGGTCATCGTCCCTGGGAGGTGGTTTCTTGCTTTCTGTCTTTGTCTCTCCACTGAGCACACACACCCTATAGCAAAAATCTCTCTAAAAATAAAATAAGTAAATAAAAATAATTCATTAATTTAATTAAATTTTAAAAAGAAAGAATGCTAGTCCTTGGATCTAGGGCCCACCCTAACCCAACACAACTTTACTGGTATTGTATCTGCCATATCTTACAGCCAAATAAGGCCACAGGGTCCTGGTGGACATGAATTTCAGGATGACTTTATTCAATGTGGCACATGTGTATGCTTATGCTGGTGGGTAGGGGAACAGAGTCCTGAAGGGGACACTTCCTTTCCTGCTTCTCAAATAATGGCTATTTATCAGCCTTATGTAGTCACAGAAAGTGGAGCATGACCGAGCAGCATAGGAGATGCAATGATGATGATGAAGAGTTACTGATGGATACTTATGACAGGCCCAGTGACAGGTTTTCGTATAGAATACTGAATTTAAGTCTCACAGAGGTAGTATAAATAGAAACTATTCTGGTTTTGCAGATAAAACAAACAAAACCAAAGACCGATTCCTAGAGAGGTTAATTTAGTTGTTCATGGCCAAACGGCTAGTAAAGAGCAGAAGAGCATTTGGACTGAGGCCTACGACTTTATGTATTCACAAATGCATGAAGGGAGCCTGAGGCTGATGTTACCTGCATAATACAGTGTGATCTACCCCAGAATATCCCTTCCATGGGTCTGAAGAAACCTACGCTACTCCTTTGCTTTAGGGTGTCACGTTAACATTCATCATTTAGAACTGTCCCATCTAATGTGGTAGGAACTAGCCACATGTGGCTGCCAAGCACTTGAAATGTGGCTGTTTGGAGCTGAGGTGTGCTCGAAGTCTGAAATACAGACACTGAGAACGGAGAAGAAGATTGAAAATAGCCCAACTTTTATGGTAATGACATACTGAAATAATATCATGGATCTATTTTTAGACTAAGCATAATATGGTACTATGAACCAGGGGGTGGCCCAGCAGTAACACCACTGGGGCCACATGGGAAAGGTCCTGGACTACCAACCCTGAGCATTCTGGGGGAATGCATGCGTCTGTGGTGATTCGGGAAGTCTGAGACTGGGGCAAGCTCACGGCGTGGTGTCTCTGTTGGGGCTGCCTGTCTCCATCTCTTCTTTCTCTCTCTCATGGAAGAAATAAACTTAAAAATCGTATCAAAATTGATTTTACCTTTTTCAGTGTAACTAATAGAAACATTTTAATTATATGTGTGGCTCTTGTTTATATTTCTATTGGACAGTGCTGGTCTAGAGAGTCTCTGAGCATCAAATAACAAATAAAAATATGTCCTCTGGAACTGAAGGTGAGTGTTTTGGGGGAAGTGGACAGATACTGGGCAGTGTCAAAATTCAGGTGGGCCTGGGGGGCACTGAGGAGGGTTTTTGTGCAGCCAGATGGTAAGTGAGAACATTTAGTGTCTGACTGTTGGAAGTGACAAAATAAATCACAGAATTCTGAAATTTCAGAGTCAAAGTGCCTTATGAATCATCTTTCTCTCTCTCTTTCCTTCTTTCTTTATCTTTTGGTCTCTCTGATCTAATAATGGGAAGGAAATGTCTGGGACTTAGAATCTGAACCTTCGAGTTCCAGTCTTAGCTAAATCATTATTAGATGGGATGTCTTGGGAAAATCACTTACTTTTACTTTCCTTTTATTTTATTTATTTATTTGTGTATTATTCAGAGACATAGAGAGGGACAGGACCCCACCGAAATCTGATGCTGCGATCCACTCCCAACCTTAGCCACCCCTGAAGCATGGGCATGCGTTTGTCTGGCATGCTCAGGGAGGTCTCCAGACACAAAACAGTAACCTCCCATGTGGTCAGCCTCACGGAGCACCGTGTCTCACCAGTGCTCCACCATCCGGCCCCATCTCTTTCCTCGTATGTCCAGTGTTGGAGATAAAACCTGCTTGACCTTCCTTGGAAGGTTACTTCAATTTATTAGAAAGCCCATTTAGAATTATGAAGCACTGTAAAATGTAAGGTATTAAATTGGTGTTGCTTATTTTGTAATCCTGGCTCAGATTAGTCTACAGACATATGTTAAGGTTTCTTTTTTTAAGTTATTGCCAGAGGACAAGTGTGCTTACCAGTGAGAGAGAGAGAGAGAGCGCGAGCGAGCACACTCTCGAATGGAGTGTGGCCGAGCCACAGTCATTTTTTCTCCACTACTCCATCCTATCAAGATTTGCACCTGGGGTGTTTTCCAAGGTACTGGGGCCAGGATTTGAAGGAGGCTGGC